AAAAACTGATCTGATGTGGAGGACTCTGGCCTAAAAACTGTGAGAATATAGCATTAAAGGTAAATTCAATGAAAAGAAAACTGTACCTGGATATGTGCAGGGGAACTTTAAATTTCACATATATGTAAAGATATAAAAGTATTTTATAGGAACCTTGATAAAAGGAAGGCTACCTCTGAAAGACTATCAGGCTGGCATTAGACTTTGCCAACACCACAATAAAAACTAGGAGAGGATATGAAATTATGTGGATGAAAGTCTGAAAGAAACAGGTCTAGGCTAAAACACCTATCTCCTCTCAGATTCCTCATGCGTGAGACGCATTCTCTGACATGCAAAGACTTTAAATATAATATGCAGGCACCATAGACAAATTAAAACAAACTTGGAAACAACTGTGTCAGAACAAAGAATGAAATATGCTAAATCAAGGAATGAGGAAATTGTGGCTAGAAAGGACTGAAGTTACCACTAGAACCAGTAAAATACATAGAAATAAACGTGCATTGCTGTTTTAAAAATGATTGCAAAATTACTTGCCGACTTTTTGTTTCTTTCCAAGAGTAGCTGATCTCTATTGCTTAAAAACTGGAAAGAAAAAATAGTAAGATATATAATTCAATTAACCTCAAATTCAATTAATACAAGTGGGTATGTTGGATGGGTGGAAGAGCAATTAGCATTTCAAGTTTCACAAAAGAAAAGCAAAGATTAATGCTCTTCTATGGCTTTGATAGCTAAGTAAATGTAGGCTTAGAAACGCATCCAGAAAAACTTTAGAATAACCATCACAATGGTTCCATGTCTTCCTTCTTAGTTAGAAGTTATCAACAAACAAAATGTTCCGGAAAGAAGGAAGGTAGGGGAAAAGAAGCTCCCCTTCCTTGCCCATCACCCTCAAAATATAAATAAAAGCAAAATACTTAAGGCATAAGACAAGTTGGAATATATAAAATTTATATAATAATTACAACAATAATTGCAAATAGGTCAAACTCTATTATTAACAGGAAAAGACTCCTAGATGGGATTTTATCTTAAAGAGCTTTTCACATAATGCTTTTCACATAATGTATACCTAAATAAAATGATAGGAAAGGCTAAAAATAATGGAATAAGCAAAGATTTTAGGAACACAAAAAAAATTTGTTTGGCATTATTAGTATGAGACAAAACAGCAATCAAAGAAAAACTAAGACAAAAAGTCACTTGTAACTAATATAAAATCCATAACACAGAGACATAATGGTGATGAAACTTATCAATCAAATAATATCTCATTAATGTATCTGAAAAATTACAACACAAGGAACTATTTGATATTTTATTGAAAACAAATAACAAAAAACTGTATGTCCTGTCTGATTCTACTCATGGGGAAAAATGAATATATATATATAGGGTGTCCTCAAAAATGTATACACACTTTAATAGCTGATAGATCAATTTTGAAAATGGAATGTATTTTAATAAACACTGCCCTTATAATTATAAAGTCTGGAAACTGAAACTGATTTAAAGCATATTACTTTGTAGTTGGAGTATGAGTGGTTTTTATTTATTTTTGAGAACTTCAAACATTACCACAAATTTTATTATTGACCATGGGCTAAATTTGTATAAAATAGTATCAATTTTAAAATAATATGCATGGTAATATTTCTACTTTTTAAGATAATAAGTTTTCTTTGCTAACATTTTACTTTGATTTTGGTTTTTCAGGTGACTTAAAATTATGAGATATCATTTTGGCCTCCAGTTAACTGCTATAAACTGTTCTCACACAAAAATAAACCAAAGCCACATCTGCTTTTATCATAATAAGGTACAGCATCTCCAGTCTTGGCAATTCTTGTGATTTGGAATTTTGTACTTAGGAAAATCCTTCAAATGCGTCACAGAACACTACCTTTGGAAATGAACACGTCAGTTGCTAAAAACTAAGCATTCCATATGCAATCTTCTTTAAAAGTAGGGAAAGAAAAGAGAGAATTCTCACATAATTATTGCCTAGTTCAGTAAAATCAAACATATACATTAACATTCAAGAATTTTATAGTAATGGGTAGAAGTGATTTAAAGACCCATGGCTGATCTTTTGTTATTTCATCAAAGCTTTTACTAAATTGGATAATTAATCATGTCATTTTGAGAATTAAAAATGTTATCTAAAGTCAGATACTCTTTTTCCCTTTACTTATTAAAGTAAAAATACATCTGCCAGTTTATTTTTAAATTTCCACCCAGTTCAATTTCACTGTGTGGTAACATAATGTCAAAGAAAATGACAGGCCAAGTGACGAAGAAATCAGATAAATGTGAACACATGTCATTAAGGAACTCTCTTGGCATGCTAAAAAGTTTTAACTGAAGGTATAATAAATTAAGAAGTACTGTGAATATAAAGTGAAAACCATGCCTTTGAGAATCCTTTGTATACAATATTCCAATCAGCCACTATAAATTCATAAAATTTACAGAGCCAAACTAAACAAAAAAGTCATTACACAAAACCTTTTCTATGTATATCAAGAAGAAGGTGTATAGGGGAACCCACTTAGAGAAGCAAAATGGCCCCAGCAGCAAAGGCATCTGGGAAATGGTGGACTCTCTGTTTAACCTTCTGTGATGTCAACTCTCTGTGGCCTCAGGCTCGGCTGACTACCCAGAAAATGGGAAGGCCGCCAGGGATAAATGTCATGCCCCCAGGAAGGAGGTTAATGTATGCAGCCAAAAGGCGTTTCACAGGACTCTTACAAGAGCCGTGCTCTGTCACAAAGAAACCTAGGACAGGACAGGAGCCACAACCCAATGACAGAGGTGTCACCCCGAGCTGCCCTGTGAATTGTGAGCTCTGGAGATATAATGCCTCCTGCCTTCTAGTTCCCTGAAAATGTTCCATTCTTATCACTGCCATGTTTGGTATTTCATTTTCTTTCTAAGCGTCACAGAATGCCTTTCTTTAAGCTCTGCTTTATTTTCACGTTCTAGTTTCTTCAGAAGTTCTGAGGTTAACCAGTAAAGGCACTTGGTTGAAAAAAAATCATGTCAGATATTCTCAATATTATTCACAATTAGATACTACAAGTACGAACAGTTCTACCTAACACTGGGTGAGAAAAGTTCAGGGAAGCTGCAGGAACAAAGTGGAACAAAGTGTGACTTTGTTCACACTGTTTTCAGAATCCAGGCAGGGAAGGGAGAATGAGCTACACATGAGAACGGTGGGGACAAGCGAGCTGTGACGAAGGGGAAGGAGAGGCCGTGAGGGAGGGAGACACTGGGGCCACTTGGAGGAGCTGTCCAGGGTGATGGGTGCTATTTTGGCCCAGGGCTGCGGGAGAGTAACCCCAGAGAGGGCGAGTGGACAGGCCAACTGCAATGTTAAGGTCTGGCCAACTTCGAGGAAGAGGACTCGAGTTTTGCAGAGGCACTAAGGTGCCGGTCGTTTGGTCTGGAAAAACGTGCACTCAGAATGCACCGTGAGAAGGCAGGCAGAGTAAGCCCTGAGGGCTGTCTCAGGGGGCCTCTGCTGTCGGCCAGTATGGCAGCCCCTAGCCACATGTGGCCACTGAGCACCTGAAGTGGGCTGAGTGAGGAACTACTGATTTAATTTTATTTAATTTTAATTATTGTTTAATTTAAATGGACACGTGACTAGTGACTACCATATTGGACTTCGCAGTTCTAGATTTAAAACCAAAATAAAACAAAGACGCACACACACACACATACGCGCGCACACACACACTCACGCACGCACAAAATGCCTGAGGAATGTTATTTGTAGCCACATACCCCTCGTGGTCCGGAGAGCAGCTCTATCAGTCCAACAGGGGCCTCACCTACCATAGAGGCCCCTCCCTTCCCAGCCTCTGCGTGTCCCCTCTCTTCCTCCCCTCAGGAAACACTCGGGCGTCTCCCCTCCCCTCCCCTCCCCTCCTCGGCTCCTACACATTTGCACGAGTAGCCAAGGTGCCGCGTGTCTTCAGTTTATTCATTTTTATGGACACTACACTACATTACTCTTCTTCTTTGAGTGTCAGGATGACACTCACATAAGGACATTCGTGTGTGCTGCTCGGGCGTGTTTGCCATTACTTCTTACACTGACACCTGCTTTGGTTCGTTTAGAGCTGCTTCAAGCGCAGGCTTCCAGGACTGCAGCCACCTGATAAGACAAGGACTTCTATCTGGGTCTCTTTTATTCAAACACATGTTTTCTTCCTTCCCATATTAAATAATTTATTCTTTTTTCTTTATAGTTCTCTACTATTCTTTTAAAAAATATTTGTGTGTTAGACAAAATATTTGTTTGTTGGGGATATCTGCCCTATTCAGTTTTAATTTATATATTCTGTAACTGGATCACCAATATAAATGATTCATCTATTCATCCTTTTACCAACTGATGGGGACAGAAAAAGCAGCAAGAGCTTATACACGTTTATTTGCACTTATTTTTCATTATAAGCACTATCTTTCCCATACCACCAGCAATTATTTAAAGCACAGATATATTCTGAAACATAACTTCACATTTATTACTTTCTATTCTATCAAAGAATTATCTCATCTCCAAATGAATAAAAAATAGAGAAAAAGAAATAGGGGCAAGTTGAAAACATGAGAGGAAGAAGCAAGAGGTTCTGGGATTTCCCTAAAGAAAGCAGGACTCAGCAGCCGCGTGGAGGAAACCGAGGGCTGGGGTGGGGCCTAGAGGGCAAGTGCATCCTATGGAGGGTGGGCGCAAGAAAGGGGCAGCGAGCGGCGGCGCTGGGAGTGGCCTGGGTCCGGGCAAGGCCTCGGGAGTCCAGAGCTCTAGGCAGGCAGAGGTGAGCCGTCAGTAGGAAATGTCGAGGAAGGCCTTAGGCACAGAGAAGACAGTGTGATAGGGAGGCGTCTGGCTCCAAGTGAGTCATTTAGGATGCTGCCTGTAGCTGCCAATCTGCATAATGTTTTCATTTATCCCTGAAATAATTTAAAGAAGAAAAATTTACCTGTGATGTCCTGAATACCGTGGACCCCGGATATGGCCTATCCCTCGACAGCCTGGCGTAGGACAGACAGCTTGACCAGGGAGGATTTTCACATCATTTGCTCCTTCAAGAAGTAAAAGAACATACCATGAAAACACCCTTAGTCAAGAACTGGAAAGACTAAAATATGTAAATGATATTTACTGAGACTTCACAAATTAAAAACAAATTATCACCAAAAAACGCTTATTGGGTACTTGTGATGTTTTATAAAACGATTTAGCAGAAAATATCACTGCTGTAATAGATAACACTAATAGCAACTAATACCAGAGATGGAGCAAAATAAATCGACAATGAAGAAATTAAAAAAACAGATATGAGAACATTCACTTATCTCTTTCAGAGAATAATAGTGGCAATAAGAACACAGCCTTGAGGTAAGAATGTGAGGGGGTGAAGTCTGATTTGTGGTTCTGTGCTATACTCTCACTCAACTACAGCAAGGCTAGACAGAAGGCTGGGCAGAAACTGGGCCAGCAACTGGGCGTGCCAAGCACGGCGAGCCCGGCCCTACCGAGCTTCCTCAATCAGCTCTCAAAGCTAGCTGAAGAGAGAGTGCTCTGGTCCACACCACACACCACACCACACACACCACACACCACACACACCACACACACCACACACACACACCACACACACCACACACCACACCACACACACCACACACACCACACACACACACCACACACACCACACACCACACCACACACACCACACACACCACACACCACACCACACACACCACACACACCACACACCACACCACACACACCACACACCACACACACACCACACACACCACACACACCACACACCACACCACACCACAACCACACATATCACACTATACCACACACACCACACGCACACCACACATATCACACCACACTATACAATATATAACCACTTCAGGCCAGAGATAAATTCTGTCAAGCACAATAAGCAATCATCTCTGAAGATCACCAGGATTTAAACCCCCTTGCTCTGTTTTGTGCTTTTCCTCAGTCTGCTCTCCCTCACTTTCCCCTCCCCCAACACAGACATCAGCTCCTAGGGTGTTCTACCCCATACTGTCATTCCACCTGGGCCTTATTTCCCTGACAATCCACACTTTCCTTCTCTCTGCCCAGCTCTCATAACTCCATTTCCTGCGCAAGCTCCCCATTTCCTGTCCTCATTTCAGTATTTTCTGCATTTTTTTGCTCTAACTGTACATGGCTGTTAGCTGAAGAGAGTGCATTTTGCAGCTTTCTCCAGGAGAAAATGTTCACTTTCTCACACCCCATGTGTCTCAGAATTGGCAGGAAAGTCAATGCCCCCCTTCCTCCCAGCATCTCTTCTAGACCATATTTCTTTCATATTCCTTAATACTCCTGTTCTTCTGAGGCTGACGTCATGGGCCTCCCTCACCACTGGCCCTCTCATTGCTAGCACCCCTCTGCCTGTGACTCACATCGCTCAGAGAAGACTGCAACCCTCGCTCACCTTGTTCCACTCCTTCCCGGCTCCAGCAATACCCAGGGCACCCTTAATACTCACACAGTCATGTGTCATCACCAAAATGACACTGCTTCTAAAATCACTAAGCAAACAGCCCATCTGACTACAAAATTCTATCTTTCCAGATTGCTTGCTCAGGTATCCCACCTAACTCCTGGTGATGTTTCCAACATCACTGGAATTTCCAGGCCACTGGTTCCCCTTCTTTCCCCACCATCAGTCATCTTATTATAACTCCCTTCCCTCATCTTAGATTGAGTCTATCAATCAGTATTTGACCCTCTATTGCAAATAACTTAAATTCCCTTTTCTCTCTGACCTTTTATCACAAGTGGCTGTGGACAAAAAAAAAAAAAAAAAAAAAAAAATCAG